ACAGGGGTTACTAGGATGTTAAGAGGAATGGATAGGAATGACAATCGGGCTCGTCGGCTCGACTTGAAAAAAGCTTGAACCGGCTTGGATCGAGACTCGGAGGCACCGAGCCTCATTTTTTAGAGTTGGCTCGAGCCAGGCCAAACCGTATTTAGGGGGAAAAAAAATAAAGAGAAAGAGAAAATATGCTTCTTGTTTGGCAACTATTTTAGCTGCCAAACGGGCAACAAGAGGTATATAAAAAAAAATCCAGAAACCGAGCTTGGCCAGCTCGGGTCAAGCCTTAATTTTTCAGGCCAAAAAAAGCCTATCTTAAAAAAGCTCGAGCTCCAAAAATTTTGGCTCATGAGTCGGTTCGACTCGACTCATTGATATCCTTAGTAATGGATGAGAATATTTGGATGTTCAACGGAAAATTATAAATAATTTAAAGTTCAAGGACTTGTTCGAAACATGGGTAGAAGTTTAGATATAATGGGTATTTAACCCTATTGGACCCCTATTTTTTGGAAATGAAAATGAGTATAATAGAGTTTTTTGAAAAAATGAGTGATTGAAAAAGAAGGAAAAAATTTCAATTTACGTGTAATATTATTTTATGGAAGATTGCGTGGTTAAAATTTGAAAATAGCAGAGATAAAAATAGAATATAATGAAATGAAAATTAATTGGGATCAAACGGGGCTTAATTAGGGGTTGGTTTTGACTTGACTTCACAGGTAACTTTTGTTTCGAGTTGATATGAAGAATCTGTGTGCCTTTTGCTTCTCTTGCATGTATGTTCTTTTTATGGAAAAAATAATAGAACCTTCAAGTTTGAATTTTATTTGTATATGTAAATCTCTAGCACTATATATAGTTGTTCTAATTATTATTTTCAGTATTTGGTGAATTTCTGATTCGACTCTTTATCTGATAAACTCTTGGCTGAATTATCTAAGTTTCATCCCCTTCTTCATGAACTATTTTTATTCATAATAATGAATTTAACTGAATAACAACATAGAAAAAAATACACTGATTTTCGATATTTAAGCTTGAGTTTCTTTGTGTTTTCGTCTGGCGTTTTCCCTTTACACACATATATTTGTAACAGTAGGCGGCACGTGAAATTAATGGCTGCAAAAGAAGCATATAAAGAATTCATCAAGATCATTTCCAAATAATTTGTGGACCCTTTCATGATGTAGCATGAATGTATAGGCATTTTTTTTTTTTTATCCCCTTAAAAAAATAAAAATCCTTATTTTTGTTATTTAACGATACAAGAAAAAAGCCAATTTGAAGCTCCCTTTCTAGCATGTGACAACGGTCAAGACCCCGTTTGAGAGTGATTTTGAGAATTGATTTTGTAACCGTTATGAGAAAAGTGGGGACCACATGTGAGAAAAAAGTCAAATTTTACGTCTGAAATAGTAAAACAACGATAAAAAAATCAATTTTTTGAGATAAAAAATCACTCCCAAACAAGCTCCAAAGATGGCGTTAATATCCTAAGTTGAGTGTGATAATTTCCTAAAGTCGTTCAATTAATTATGTCCCGTCTATCACATATGGTTGGTTTTGATTCGATAATATTTTTGAGATCTATTCTACATCTTTTGATTTGATTCAATAATAAAAAGATTTGAAGGTGACAAAACACTAATATAATGAAGAAAAAAACATGAGTTACATTTAAAGAGGAGAGGAGACAGTTTTTAAAGCACCAAAAGGCAACTTTAAATTTGGCAAAGAAGTACGCATAGCAATCGTGGATTGGTATGGTACTCTGTGACATAATATTTCATTAATTGCAAAGTTGATACCCTCTCGTTTTGAATTCTTCATTTCACCCATATTGGTAACCCCCCATTATCTCGAGTTTACCCTTTTCCTGGTTTATGTGGGAGAAAAACCTTAATCTTTAATCAATTGTTAACATCATTTGCTATTGGAGTTTTTCTTATTTTTCAGTGGTAGTTTTTCTTGGAAGTAAGATTAAATTATGTGACTGTGACAAAATGAAACTCGATAATGCAAATCAACTTAATTTTAAATTCAATGACATTCAACGAATTTTATTGTAACCTTTTTCTTTAAATAGCTCTATCATGTCCAATTTATCATATAAAATATTAGTTTGTTGTTTATTTGAGAAAGTTTGTTACGCAAATAATATTGTCTACTTCTTTAAAATACCAAATTTGTGTGGTACAATTTATTGATAGAGTAATAAAAGGGTTTGAATGAGAATATGAGAACTGTAAAAGTGATTGAAAAACCTCTTTTTTTTTCCTTTTTTTTTTTTTT